TGGTACAAGCATAAGATTGAATAGGAAGATTGACATGGGAAACTAAGGGTTTAAGCAGAAGAATGGAAATTAGCTGGATAAGATAACAACTAACGTGTAAAAAAGGGGCAACTTAAGGAACGTAGATATGTCGGAAAAGATTTATGGTTTCATCCGCATTAAGATACAATGACAAAGAAATTTATCGCACTATTTGTTTGAGGTTTCGTTTTTACGACAAAGAAATTTATCTCACTATTTGTTTGAGGTTTCGTTTCACGAAAACTATGTACTGTAGGTCACAAATGATCGAAATATGAGAGTAATTCAAAAATAATCATCAAATTATCACTTTAAGTAGTTGTAATCCTCATTCGCGTTTCTTTAGGTTGTTTGTGACCAACTTATGCTTGAATGGAGACTATATTGTGGAAACTGATTGTGACGAGGCCCTGCAACTGATATTATGGAAAAAAGATGAGAACAAAGGAGAGGTTAAACATATTCAAAACAAAGGTAAAGGAGTAAGGAACATTTGGAATTTTCATGCTGAGGATGAAATTATCACTGGTATTGGTTTACTTCCATCAAATTTTGCTGTATTACGCAATTTTGTTTTCCGTAGGCAAATCAATGAAGACTTGTCATCATAGATTCTATAACTTAGTGTATCTCGCATATTCTCTCAAAATTGCAACTTTCTTAAAATAATTTTTCATTTACTATGTGATTTTTTTCCGATGACACTTTCAGAAATGATTTTCTTCCTGTTGTGAGAGCAAAAATTCCAGTATATTCTAAGATTATATATCGAATCTTATTGAAATTATCACATTCTAACTATTGGATGAATTATGTGTTGGACGGCTGATCTAGTTTTTTTTTCTTAGAATTTAGTGTTCAGCTATATCAAATATATAGTTGCAATAACTGATTACCTAATCAGTCATGAGATTGAACAGCCATCCAATTATTTTGATTAATTACAATCGAAATAAGGCGTGGCATAACATTCTAAGCTCCATAGTATCTATTTCTTTGCAATTTCAAACATATATATATATATATATATTTCTTAATTGGAATTGTTTTATGTCGCGCAGTATGATTTGTTTTTTTTACGGCTTGAATTCATTAAAGAGGTGATAGGTTCGAGAATGTTTTGTATAAAAAGGTCAAAATTTTCGGCGAAAAAACTGCTTTGTTCGAATTACAAAACATTTTTTTCTGTGTGCAAGATAAACGTTTAAAAGATTGATTCAGTTAATAAAAATCCAAAAGAATTGATTGACCGAAAGAAAATAGAAAAAGTTATAGAAAAATAGTAATTCAGTTTGCTGATGCATAATCAATTTATTAAGTTGTTTTGTTAAAGGATATCGCACATACTGTTCTCTTTATTCCACTGTTCCCTAACTTATATGATTTGTCGAACTGTGCATAAACATACGATGATTAAATTCCAGCATTAAATTCATGAGTTTCATTAATTCAAATGTCTAAGTAATACTGCTTCCGCTAAATTAGTATTGTATTATTGCAATAGAACACATTCGTTCTCAAATAACTGCTAACAGTTTTTTCTTATCACAAGACATACTATCAAGAATATAAAATAATTTAGAAAGTATTAAATTATAATTGTTTTAATGGAGAGAAAAAGAGAGGAAGGTAGTGGAAGATTAAATGCAAATAAAAAGGGATCTCATTGTGAATTATATGCACAAATTTAGTGCCCTTTCGTAAAGGATTTTTCAGTATTTTACTCTTAATTTTTATTACAGTATGAAAATTTTTGAACATTAAATAAAATAATTGGATCATCAAGTAATTAATTATTTTGTAAGAGAAAAGATACCATTTTCTTCGATTTTGATTAACATTGTTATTAGTTGGAATTAATTATTTTGTAAGAGAGAAGGTACTATTTTTTCCGATTTTGATTAACATTTTTATTAGTTTTATCATATATTTGTGCAGATTTTTACTTTTTTGATAGTTCTATAAATATTTTATGATACTATTCGTGTGGACTTTTAAATGGTCAAATTTTCATGTTTACATTAGCTCTTAAATAGTTGAAATCACAATGTTTGCATTAGCTCTTTAAATAACCGATGAAATTTGAAAATGGAAGAGCGAATGGGATTGAATAGAGCATTTTACGAGGACTCTTTCTAATTTTTCACTAAGTTAAAGCCAATTATTGGTGATGCATATGCAGTAAGATCAGTATGGAAGTGTGAAACTATAAGATACTCAAGACTTTTATAAAAAACTAAACATACATGAGGATTTGACCATTCATGTTTTTATGTAATCAGCCATAATAGCACTTAGTAGTGCTGGATAAAATTTGAGAGTCTTGAAGACCGAGTACAATACATTGTGTTTGCAGTATTTATTATATTTCTCGTATCAAATGTAATTGGCCGAATAGTTGAAGCAATCGAACGTGTAGAATATATTATTAGGACTTTTAATAGGCTTTCACATTATGACTGCTATATTTTTTGTTGAAGAATATGTCATAAATCATAATGCTTTTATCATTACATCAAAAATGTTAAAGTTTACAAATTCTTGCCATTAAGAAAAGTCTCCTGCGAAAGTCTTTTCGGAGAAATATACAGCATAAATCAATGCATTTATCCCAACTTCTATGAAGCACTCGAAAATAGGAAGTTTTTATTGAAAATAAAATCTTTATAATAATAACAATAATATTGTAGTCAGTTGTCGAAGCGGTATGTCATCTTATCTTAACAGTACCTATTTTAAGTGATTTAAAAGAATTAAATGATTTACAATAAAAACTCTAAAACAAAGATTTATAAGCTTCTTTATATTAGTTTATTCTATGTAACATTTCTTTTTGACATTGGAGGTTCAGCTTGATGATCCGTTATACTGCACATATGTAACATCTCCAAATATATTTTCCAGGATGTAAAGAAGATCGGTAATAAGGGGTCATCATGCATGTAATAATTCATAATCAACCAACCATATTGCTTTTTTTTTAGGTCATTGTAAATTATTCTCTTATTTCAAGTTCGTTTGCTTTTTGAGATCGTTATAGTTGTGATTTAAAAATTTCCAAATATTCCTTTATCTCTTGAATTTATCTCTTGAATGTTTTCATATTTTATTTCTCTTATATATAAAATGGTAATGGTAGATTTTATCAAAATATTAGACTTATTAATTTTTTTCTCATAATTTTAACCCATAATAAGTCGAATATTTATTGACTGTTGCTGTGCAGATGTTTTTTAATTGTGTTCGGTCAGTTATTACTGCTAGTTTTCCAATTATAATATGATATGTGATTAGATCTTCATTTGACTTGAAATTCTTTGGATTTGACAAGTATTATTTGTAAAATTTTATTTCGTCTTTACATTAGAAGCACATCTTTATCATATGTATAGAAATATGAAATAAATTTCTGTTGATTGAAAATTTCATGTTGGACATGTTTTTGTTTCAGTGGGGAATTTTGTTTTCACATCAATAGTACCAACATCATATAACTCGCTTGGCGTGGAACCGGATGTGAAATACTTCTCAGGAATACGGAGAAGCATTCTGCGTGTGCATAGCTGCAAATTTTGCACAATACTTAAAAAAAAATTGTTCAAGATATTTGGTTTATTTTTTATTTGCTATTTGCTTTTTTTAATTTTGAATTTGCTATTTAATTTTTTGACAAATTTTCGAAAATATATGTTGTAGCTAATTTTGTCAGAATTATAACTGAAGCAAACCTTTGTACGACATTTGTGGCTAATAGTGAACTGTGGATCGAACATATCCGCTTTCGAGTTTCCTTTTATTGTAAATCGTCCATGCGCATCCGTTTTTGTCTTTGCAAGTGCTGTGCCCTCTGCAGCTAAGAAATTATGAAAAAAAAAACATGTTACAAAATAGAGTTGAAAAATTCCTCTTTGGCTATGCTACAATTATC